TCGAGAATAGCTCGATGGGTTTTATATCTCCAAGATTTTAACTACGAAATTGAGCACCATACCGGCTCAAAGATGGATCACGTGGATGCCCCTCAGTCGCAGTCCATGTTGCATGACTATCCAAGACAGTGTCCTTCTCCAATTTCGCAAAGCACAAGAAACCGATGAGCATATTACAACTATTAAAACACTCCTTCAAACAACGCCTTCGTATGATAACTTTCTCGTTAAGAACAATCTCCTGTACAAAAACGTCAACAGCATTGACTTACTTGTGGTGCCTGAGGATATGCAGGCAAATGTCATTAAAACAGCTCACGAACGAGGCCACCTCGCCGTAATCCGCACTCAAGAACTTTTAAAAAAAGAATATTTTATCCCAAATGAAAGAAAAAATTGAGTGGTGTATCCATAATTGCATCCCATGCATCCTCAATAATTGAAAGTGTGGCAAACAAGACGGACTACTGCACCCCATTGACAAAGACGACGCACCCTTGCACACGTACCATATCGACCACCTAGGTCCCCTTGCCACTACATCAAAGAAATACAAACATATTTTGGCTATTATAGACTCATTTACTAAATTCGTGTGGCTTTATCCAACAAAGTCTACAGACGCAGATGAAGTTATCAGTCGGCTGGAAACTCAAAGATCAGTCTTCGGAAATCCTTCACGGATTATCTCTGATCGAGGCCCTACATTCAAATCCACTGCATTTGCAAACTATTGTGACACACAGAGAATAAAGCACATTCTTATTACAGCTGGCATCCCACGATAAAACGGTCAAGTTGAGCGTTTGAACTCCATTATTATTGCTGTCCTTTCTAAACTCTCCATAACCAACCCTGAAAAATGGTACTGCCAATGTTCCCGCCGTGCAGCAAATTATTAATTCAACTTTTCAATGCAGCATCAATTCCACTCCCTTTGAACTTCTCTTTGGGACTAAAATGAAATCGCAAAACGACATCATCGCTACTCTAATCGACGAGGAGATCAAATCTGCATTCATTCGGCAACATGACGATCTCCGTAAGGACGCAAAACAGCAAAGCAGTGCAAGACGAAAATCGCCGTACTTGTAATTTGCAACGAAAACAAGCACAAAAATTTCACCTTCATGACCTCGTGGCAAACTCAGTTTGGCCCTGGTCTAAAACTCAAACAGAAATTTCTCAGACGTTATAAAGTCACCAAGCTCAAACAAAATGACACATATGATGTGGAAAAGTGTGCATTTTTCGACGGACCATCCAAAACATCCACTTGAGCTGAATACATGAAACCCTGGTCCAACAATATTGAATGTATTACTTGATTTTTTATTAAACTGTCAGCATTATATGTCCTCCTGTGTTTGGACAGATGACACCTGAGAACTTTCTAATATTTTTTTTTCCTCATATCAAGTTTTTAATTCATTTTGTCATAACTGATTCTCTTTTTATTTTTAGTTAACTGCTGTGGTGTGTTTAATCTTTTTTTTTTTTGCTCCATTTGTGTAAGTATCCCCAGCTTTGTACCTACAGATTATTTTTTTTCATACCTATGTTACTTTTTTTTTTATTTTTTTTTTTTTTTTTTTTTTTTACTTTGATGATATATTATGTTGCTTCAGGCGAGGTCACCTGTCCGGTCATGATGGCCGAATGTGGGAAATGTTATGTCATGATATTCCCTAATCCCCTACTGTGTGACGTATGCATTGCGTCAGCATGTGTTTCCCGCCTTCGGGAGAAGACGAGGACTAGATGGCGAGCGGAGCAGACGTCGTTCAATAGCTCATATATTATTTCATTAATTGCAATCCTAACGTAATCTATGTTTCTGAATAGTAATAAATGTGTGTTATCAACTATGGTTGTTGCCTTTCCCCACATATACAGTAATGAAATTTTCATATAATAAAAAGGATATTCCAGCTATCTTATTATACTCTGAAAAACTACAACAGCCCAAAATACTCTTACTTTATTTAGATTGTGGTCATATCTAAAAATATAAAGAATTATTGTATATCTATGGGTTTCACTCATAACACAAAATCAACTGATCATTTAAAAAAATCAAATTTATGAGTTATGATTTATGAATAGCAAATACTTGGAGCTCCAGTGAATGAAAATGGCAGAGATGAATTAATTCTTATAAAAATGGATGCCATTATCACCCTGGAGCACTCAAGATAGTCACTATCAATATTTTCATGCTCAAAAATAGCATCAACTTCCACACCACTTCCACTCCCCCCCCCAATTATTCTAAACTTTCATCATCTAAGCTCAATAATCAGTGCTGATCACTACATAAGATAAGGTCATAAATATATAATAACCTATTGATAAGGTCATAATTAATATACATAATAATATTTATGACTTTTACATATAAAATGTTCTATGTAATAGACATGTGAACCTTTTGGGATGAATAAAAATATGCTACAGTAAACCTGTTTTAACAAGATACAGCAAACACAAACAAAACATGCATAGTTGGTAATGGGTGGCTGAATGCAGACTGGTATAATAGTAGTGATACAAAAGAGGTAAAGTAACATGTAACTTCAGCAAACATATTCAGTTGATACTTGCACGTGAAATCAAAATGTCATATTTAATTTAAATGAGCAGATAATCTTTGATCTCTTGAACAGGAAATAAGTTATTTTGTTTGCATTAAGGGATTATTGATTTCAATGCCTAAAAGATGTGCTAAGTTTATTAAAATTAAAATTACTTGACATGAAATATTAGATTCATTACAGATATATATACAGTTATATACAGTTTATACACAGTTAATACAGTTTTAAACATTTTTCTAAGAAAATATAATATATATTTACTTTTATTTTGTGCATTTTATAACTATCATGTTCAGAAACAAAGACAGTTTTTTTAGAGTGGTAAATTATCTACCAATACAGCACACATCCTATATCATATAAAATACATATTCTTTAGTCCTTAAGCTTTTGTCCTCTATATATCTAACATGTTAGGAAGATTAAGCATACATCATTCTCATCCTGAATTTTCATACACATTTTTAAAATGATACTACTACTTACTACCATAAATGTCGTTAACATATTACTGCAAACATGAAATGTAGTTGTATTTCATCTGCAAGCATCACACACACACTATTAGATATATGGTTAGTTTTCTGTTAACTGGGTAGCACTAAGTGGCAGATGTAAACATTGGCACAAAATCTAACTAAATGGCAGCAAACCTAACATTGCATAATGCTTCATAAAAAGAATAACTATTTTATATAAAATGTCTAATGTAGGCAGTGCCACAGTCGTGTATGATGCCAAATTTGTGCGATTCTCTGGAGACCTTTTAAGACCAAACAAATCAGTGTGGACATGGCGAGAACAAAACTGTTCAGAAACAGCATTCTACCCACTTACACTGAAATCTGTTTTTAATTAAGAATATCAGAGAATTGCATAGAAATAAATATTGCGTATATTAAACATTATATATATTATGTTATTTGCCAATAGGCAAAATTTTATTGAATAATGTTTAAGAAATAGATGTGTTCTATGATTGTAAAGTTAACATTTGGACACTAGTGTATAGCAGAAATCACTTATGAAATTTAATTTGATTCCCATTTAAACATTTAGAGATGGGACATTTTTAGTGTTAGGCTGAATAGCTAAGCTAATTGAGGCTGAGAATAACTAACAATCTGATGATGCAGCTGAGACTCACATGTGACATAACAACAAACAACCAAGTCTTCACTGCACCATTAAATGCACACAGTCCTTTTGTTGAAATCAACATGAACTGCAGATACAATTTAGCTAACTAGAAACAAATATTACAGAAAATAATTTTGTGCATACAGTCATTAGGTTTTCATTGGAGCAGAAGATGTGTAAACTATGCAATGCCCTCCTTGGGATTTTAAACTCCAGATCTTATGACTCTGAGCTTAGGAAGAAATGCCTTTCAAGTGTCAAAAATATCTATTTTTGAAAACACATTTGAACCTCTTATTTCTTATTTCTAACAGTATCACAGCCTAGCCCTATTTCTTGTAACTGCATCAGTTACTTTGATTCCCACCTAAACATCTATATTTGGGACGGATCTTGTGTTGGGTCACATAATTAAGGTAACTGAGACTAAAATTAAGGTAACTGAGACTAACTAGCAGAACAGAGACTATGTGCTCATTACATTACTAAATATGCAGAGCATATTTGTCTAAACATGAATGCAGATGAAATTTAGCTAAGTAATATCACAGAAAGCAATTTCAATGTAAAAGAAAATATTCTGCTCTCCAAAAGGACATTAACTCCTTATTTTTCACGCCTATCAGTATGTCCTATTTCTTGCTATCATGACAATGCTTACCTCGAACCGTTTGGTTAGATATGAGTATGATAAAAACTAAATTATATATCATGCCTGGGGAAAAGTCCTGATGTAGTTATAAGGACATTTCTTATGAAACGTTAGCTATTTTGCAAGCATTATGGAATCAAATAACATTAGCCCTTTGCATGTTAATTACAATATTAGTGAATCCAGCACTGAATAAATGACATTTTTGGAGCTGTATTTTCATTTGGGTAAGCATAACATGAAATTCTACTTCCTGTAATATTTCTTGTTACATTACTCGTACATTTTCTAAATGCATAAAATTTAAGCATGACATCCCTGCATGATGGCTATTTCATAAAACTCAATAGTTTTCGGGATTATTACTGCTTTTTATAAATTTAAAAACAAGTACAAATTTTATACAGAAATGTTACCTTCAATTTTACTTATAAAAAGATGGTATTTTTACAAGATTTCATGAAAATTAAACTATCTTTTCAAGGGATTTAGTGCACGTTCATTTCTCATTTTTCATTACCATCAAAACTGAATTACTTTTCAATATCACAGAATAATTAAATATATTACACAACTGAATATTATTATGCAATATCTTAAATAATACTAACCATCAAACTGATCTTCACATTCTCGACTTATGCTTCTTTCATGAAAAAAACCTGCAAAAAGTTGCACCACTAGATATAAATCAGTAACATATAGACAATAATTACAAATATATTATAAGTTAAAGCTTTTTAAGCATTTTCCCTTTCTTTAACATAAAGCAAGATCACATAAATTCAGATGAAGAGGAAAGTAATTTGAATGTAAACAGAACAAATATTAATTCTTACGCGCAGCACGTGTTTTTTCCTTCTTTTTTTTCTTCTTAATGGGAATTGCCTCTTCAAATACAATGTGCAAAGGATCTGTCTTTATTTTTCTTTTTCTTTCTTTCCTATGTTTGAAACAGATAGAATTAATAGAAAATTCTAAAAAGGAAACCATAAAAACTACAATATTTCATGAGGTAGTCATCATAAAGAATTAGTCATTGGTCACATACTATACTTAGAAACATAACAAGTGATTTGCAGCAGATGACAGTCAATGTAAGTGTAGTAATACACAAAATCTTCAAAATGACTACTATTGATTTTTAGTCTACATATATAAATTCACAAAAATCTGTTAGTTTAGTGACTAAATATAAAACACAAGTAAACCGGTAAGTCAGGGCTAACTCTAGAGGTGGCAATATTTAACGGAACAACATTAATCGCCAATCTCATCATATACATCACCAATAGTGTATAACAGATGCCAGCCTATTACACTAGCGAATCATATCACTGCACATGCGTGAAGCGTTAGCCTCGCAGAACGGAGACGCTACTCTCATCAAAGTTATCAAAGGCTCTCTGCAGCATGTCTCACTAGTAATCTGAATTCCATCATTTATGTTACTTTCAAACTAACAAGCAAGGCTTATTTTTGGTAGCAAGAAGTTTCAAGTATCAAAAATCAAGTCAAGTACACAAAATCAGATGAATGAGGAGTCCTATGGTCAACAAATATATTGGTTCAAAACACTGCTCATAGATTAAAATTTCTTCATGAATCTTGTACTATATAATGTTTCTCTTGTATTCCCACCCTCTACCAATGAAACACTAGTTTTGACAATAGCATACAGAGCCATCCTGAATGACATTTAAGTGCAGACACACTCCTATTGGATAGAAACAGGCATTGCCTTATAATGAGTATGACTATCATGCACTTCACAAAGCTTGCAGTCATTTGCAAACAAAACATCATGTTTCAAACAGAAAGTACGAAGAAATTAAATTTAATTCTTTGAGGAAATTACCCAGTGAAACACCCTTATCTATTTTCATAGTCTTCAAATCTCATTAAGATTATGTTAATTTGTTAATTTGCAAATGCCAATATTTATTTCTCACGTTTATTTATCTAACCTTACAACTCAACAAATTTATGGAGCTGCCTGCATATTCTATACCATTAGGGGGGATAAAAATTACACAAAGTTTTAATTTAACAAAAACAAAAAATTATTTAATTAAAGAAATGCTATAAATAGCAAGTTAAGTATTTATAGTTTAGTATTTCTCCATGTGGCGGGATAGTCACATGGAAACCAAAAAGTTAATTGAAAAAAATTATGATGTTTAAGTCATCTTTATTATAAAAGGAAAGTTTGCTACAGGTGAAGATGAATGACAAACACACATACATAAGGCCATGGAAACAAGTTCAGGTAGACAGTTCTTGTATTGCAGATAAAGAGGTGTTAAAATAAACTGCGTTGATTTTTCTGCTTCATGGGAAATTTATCCACAAAGAATAGCTTCGTTGCAGACTGGTAGTTTTTAACAACTTGCACTTGGAATTCAAAAAGCTGGGATTAGATTCGTTGGAGCATGTTACAGATGACTACCACATCTTTGCACTCCAGTCACCTTACGCTGAATAGAAGACATAAATGAAATAGCAAGGTCTGTCCTTTTTGATGAAAGGATAGTTTGATATAATATGCGCTTAGTCATTGATCAAGTTTTGCATAAATGAGCACCTTATTACCTTCCATACTGGCTCCAGACTAAGGCAAAGGACAGGTGGTTAAGTCTCTCATTTTAGAGTTATCAACAATCGATTTGCATTCCTGTATCTATGATACTTTGTTCCTTCTATTGATCAATTAGTTACAATGAATTACCAAAAGGAATGGCTTGTTCTACGAGTACAATGTGTCTTTGAGATTCTACAATTTTCCTGAGAATATTACTCTTACCATTTCTGCAGAGTTACAATGATGAAGCTGATTTTCATCCAGGCTGAAAGAAGTCCTGTGCATCAGAAATGCCCATCTTATTTGTTTCAATCCCGCACTCAGTTCACAATACTCAGTTCTAAATAAATCATTAATGTTTAAGCCAAGTTAATAATTAAACATGAAATTTTTACATGTTTGCGATGATGCTATTTTTGGTCATAGATAATACCCATATGTCATGAGATCCTTGACCTGGTTTTCACAGCAGCATTTACTCTGTGCAGCATAATCACCTAGAAAATTGGAAACCTACTTACAAATTGGGTGCTTAACAAAAGAAAGTAGTTTCTCTTTAATCAGTGCTTGACTTAATCTAAACAAAATGGCAAATATAAGTTTAATGACTGTTCATAAATTTCAAAGAAATCATCAAATTCATGGAGGGGGGGAAGTCAGACCATCATATCAAGTCAAATTTTTTATCTTTGATTCTTTAATTGTAGCAAGCTTTGTACTTGTAGTAATCTTGTCATAAAAGGTAGAATTCCAGAAATTTTCATTACCTTTTTACAGTGCTTACAAGAGTTGCAAATAAAAAATTTGAGAAAATTAGTTTGCACAGGCTGATTAGTTTATCACTAATTTTGTTTCCAACTTCAGTAGATCTCAAGAGATGATACAATATTTACAAGCTATAAATGATTAAATCTGTAAAACTCTGTACCTTACAACGTGACCAATTTGTCACACATGCAAATCCAGAATACAACCAAATTTCATAACAAAAAGTGCACAATGTGTATCTTCATTGCAATACATAACAAAAGCAAACAAATATCCATGTCAAATTACAGCAATAAAAATATTTACATATATTTGAAAACAATATAGCTGTAATTGTATATAACACACCCAGCCAATCACATGGACCGAGCACCACTGTAAAATGTAATTTTCCATAGTTTTCTGTTACTTTTCATTGTTTTAGTACAATGTTACAAACGTCAAATTATATAATAAGTATTATATAAATGCATCTGAGTATGCTGAATTTTTCCAAGAAGTAAAGCAATCAAGAAAATATTAAATTGCTTGATAGGTATTGCAGAAATTTGCAATGAAAAATAGTTTATAAAAATATCTAATGAATATGATGTAATGCTGCATGCATTACACATTTTATTACATTGAGATGATTGATTAGTATATAGCTATTACAAACAGCGGCTTACCTGGAATTTAATTTTGGGCATGTATAAAGTGACCACATGTCCCAATTTTGGCGGGACAGTCACACTTTTTGGAGGACTGTCTCGCCGATTTTTAAAGATGTCCCACTTTTTAGAAATATCTGCATTTTTTATTTTAAATGCACTGTAAAAAATATAATACCTATTATTTATTAATTATTATAGTGAATATGAAGAAATAAAAATACATAAATATAAAATGCATGCAGAGTAAACTAAATTAGGCGATGTAGTGAGTTCGATTTACTCGGTGGTGTTCAATCATTATTGTTACATCTTGTAAAAGAATATGTATTGTTAAGATGGAAAACTTCGCCAAAGCCAGAGTGGCTCTCACATTGTAGAGGGAAGCACTTGCGCATGCGCGAAACAGCTGTCAAAGGTCATGTTTGCGAAGTTTGTACTTCTGTAACCATCTTAAGTGCGGACTGTCGTTAGACAGTGTGGTTTGTTATTTTCAATTTGACGTTCGACTTATTATTTGATTGACGAAGGAAGGGCAATATTCGCCACAGCATAACGGCCAATAAAGTAAAATTTAGTACTCTTTTTTAGCCTTTGTAGTAAATTATTTATTTATTGTATTCATCCATAAAATAAAAGATAGGTAAAAAAGAGAATGCATATTTAATGATGAGCTAAGCAAAGAATTTCCATTTATTAAAAAAAAAAAAAAAAAAAATAGACTATACGGTACGGATAAAATGCAACACTATGAATTTTCGGTCTCACATGGTGGAAAAAACGATATTACTAAACCCCTAGCGACAAAGAGGCACAGGAAATTTTTGAATAATGCCGCATCCTCGTCTAAAATGGAAGTTTTTTTGCAGTGCTAGCTTTGGTAAGACGGAGGAACAGCTAGCATTAGTTGAAGGGCTATTTGCTTTTCACATCATAAACCACAATCAATTCAGATCAATGGATTGTATGTCGCAAATGATCAAAACATTGTACGACAAAAAATTTGCATGTGCAAGGACAAAAACTGAAGCAATTATTTGTAATATTTTTCCACCATGTTCGTTTTCACAATTGTAAATGAATTAGATAAATTCCCATTTATATCCATATATTCTGATGCTTCCAACCACAAAGATTTAAAATTATTTCCAATAATTGTTAGATTTTTTTTCCAGAAACAGGAATTAAAATTAGAGTATCAGATTTTGTTTCATTGCTGGGTGAAACTTCATAATTTTTGATTCAATAAGTACTATTTTAAAAAAGAATAATTTGAACAGTAAAACTATTGCCTATTGTTCAGATAACACTAATGCATATTTTGGTAGAAAAGCTAGAAGAGGCATCAATAACGTTTTTATGAAACTTAACGAGTATATGAACCAAAAATTATTAGAGCAGGTTTTGCCGCACACATTCTACACAATATTATTCAAACAGCATCTGATTTACTTCTAATTGATGTTAAAAATATTATGACAAAAATTTATCCCTATTTATATATATATACTGTGTGAGTTGAAAGTTTGAAGGATTTTTGTAAAAGTGCAGAAATCGAATATCGAAGAATTCTTGGTTACAGCAAAATACGATGGTTAGCTCTTTTACAAGCCATAGAAAATATTTTAAAAAGATATGAACCATTAAAATCATACTTTTTTATCACAAAATAAATGTCCAACAATATTGCAGCTCTTTTTTGAAAATGACACATCACAAGTTTGGCTTCAGTTCATCCACAACCAAGCTACATCATTTCACAATGCTGTGAAAATTATTAAGGGGGACAAAATTTCAATTACGGAAGTGTCAAATGAAATCAATAATTTAAAAACAAAACTGCAAGAAAAAATTGATAACAATTACATTCTTTTAGCTATTTGAAAGGACATCACTAAGTTGGAAGAACAAGGTGCCATTAAACGACCAGATTTTCTGAAAGAA